TAGTTTGCAGATTCGGATTCCTGAGAAAATTCTACCCTTAATTCATAACTCATACGTTGGATCTGGAGAACTTTTTATTTTGACCTACTTTTCGGACACCATATCTCAAAAGTAGGTCAAAATACTTTCTGACGGCAAAAGGCTAACACTATTAGCACACTCTTTGCTACCTGTATACAAAATTTGGAAGTAAATTATTAAAGTGTAGTGTCAGAATCGTAAGAATAACGAAACACTATGAATTTGACCTAGATTTTGACCTAGGCATTTTGTTGTCCAAATTTTGAAACTATGTAGCTTTTGAGGTCCCCTTCTTTTATAAGCATTCATTATATTAAGCTGTTCTCAGTCTATATCCTGTATTTTACACTTCGAAAAAGTCTTTTTTCCCATTGACTTAACACAGGCACCAAATTTAGCGATTTTTGAGCTTTCAAAACGCCATAACTTCCGAACCGGAAGTCCGATCTAAATTTGGTTTGCAGATTTGGATTCCTGAGAAAATTCTACATCTTTTTCATAGCTCACACATTCGATTTGGAGCATGTTTAGGCGTGACCTACATTTCGGACGCCATATCTCAAAATCGGTAAGAGTAATCAAAATTCTGATGTCATATTTTTGATTCGCCTTTTTCTAAGCTACACGATGAAAAAAAGATGAAGGAGTTACGAAGAATATTGACGAAGATATGATGAAGAATGTTGAAAATGTAAGATTTGACCTAGTTCTTGACCTTTGACCTAGATAAAAATTTGACCTAATTTCCCAGAAAGCCGGTTTCAGTCTTTAGTTAACCATGTAAGTTGGATTAAGTAAGCTGTTATAGTTGACGAGAAATTTGGTGAGGAGGAAGAAAAAAGAAAGAAAAATAATAATAATAATAAAGAAAACAGGCAAAAACAATAGACTCCAGATTTTCAATCTGGAGTCTAATAAGAAAACAGGCAAAAACAATAGACTCCAGATTTTCAATCTGGAGTCTAATAATAATAAAGAAAACTGGCAAAAGCAATAGACTCCAGATTTTCATCTGGAGTCTAATAATACAGGTAACTAGAATGGTAAATTGAACCAAGTTCAATTTTAGACTCAAGATTCCTGATTTTTTTCAAATTTCTATTTTTTAGACAGACAGATTTATAAATGGACAGTAACTGGTATTTTTTCAATATTGTCTTCAATACTCTTGACTTTCTATCATAGGATATCTTTATTTCCATTCTTTGAATTTTCAAAATGGCACAGAATTGGAGTCTGATTTCAATTCTTATTTCAGATGTGGGATCCTGAGAGAATTTCCTATTAACTTATTTCTTGACCTACTTTCTGGACACTATATCTCAAAACTGGGTCAAAATACCTTTGATGGCAAAAGGCAAACACTATTAGCAAACTCTTGTATATCTGTGAAATAAACTTTAGAGAAATATATTGAAGTGTTGTATCAGGATCATATAAATAAAAAAACAGAAATTTGACCTAGATTTTGACCTTGGCATTTAAATGTCAATATTTTCATTTAAGTTAGCTTTATTGGTCTTTGAGCGATTGTAGTCAATATCTAATTGTATTTGAATCCATTTTGGATCTGACATTTCTCAATTCATAAATTTTCATCTGTCCCACTGACTTAACATGGGGATATCATCATATAATTTTTTGACCTACTTTTTAGACACTGATATCTGAAAATCTGTAAGAGTAATCAAAAACGGATGATTACATTTTCGCTATGGCTGTTTCTAAGCTACATTATATGTACAATAAAGAGATAATACAGTTATGATAAAGAACTACATAGATAATTGGCAAAATGTAGAAAATGTGAGATTTGACCTAGTTCTTGACCTTTGACCTTGATAAAAAGTTGACCTTATTTGTGAGGATCCCAGACATATTTGTTAAATAAACAAATAATTATCTCAAAGTAAGCTCTTCTAATTGTTAGGAAATCTTGGGAGAATACCAAGAGATCGAAGATTACAAGCAATCTTGCAGAGGACCTCTAAAGACATGCGTTGAGAGCATGCCGTCTTGGACAATAAATAAGCACCCCTCCATGAGCTAAACAAGTGCCAAATTACACTGAGCAGCCATTTTGAAAATCAGCTTTCAAGTAGAACTTCTACCCCCATAGGGTATATGTTAACAAAATATGAACAAAATCGGGCCAATGGTATTTGAGTTATTGCCCGGACAGATGGATGGACGGATGGATGGAGCCGTTCCCTATATCCCTCCGAACTTCGTTCGATGGGATAATTCTTTATAAAGTTACCAATGGTCCAAAAGTGAATTTTGCGAGACGAAAATAGCGGCCATTTTGAAAATAGGCGAGCTTTTGAACCAGGAGTCATAGGGGGGTTTTCTGTATTGATGTTGAACAAAAATAATTTAAAACCACTGTGCAAAAAGCTAAATAAATATAGTAGCGTATAAGTGGCAAACTATTTGTGAATATAGTTCAGTATGTCCTCACTATATTGTATTCGGTATGGGAAACAAACTATTCTTGCCTCAGAAGCGGAACATTTAGTATTGGTGGTATATACTCTACGATACTAAATATCGTTTGAACTATTCTCTAATTATTCTTAAGAGCCAGGAATAGTAGGATATAAGTACATAGAAAAGATGAGTATAGTATGTATTACATAATCCAAAAACAAACTATACGCCTCTTATACGCGAGGCTATATATTCTTTGATGTGCCTTAATTTGCTTGAAGTTAATCCTATTTTATTTTTCAATTAAGCGCTAATGTAAACAAATAAAATCATGCATTTCACTTAAGAAAGCTTAATCAAACTAAATGTCTGAGATCTCATTTAAAATTTCATGATGTTGAAGTATATGCTTTTAAATGAACTTTAAATATATTTTAAAAATGTAAGTCAATACAAAAAGTGGAATGAAAAATTTGGGTATATTTCAAATATAAATCTGTAAATTATTTATTCTCCGTTTTGAGTAAAATAAGCGTGTCAATGTCATAAGTATTGTGATAATAACGTCCCTTATACCTATTTATTACAGGTGGTGTAGACCATTGTTGCCCGATTTATAGCAAAAACATTGACTTTTGCACATTGGTGATGATGCGCCTTTTCTAATAGATCTCATATCTTAGAAGGGTATCAGTTCAAAAAAATACGAGATGACCTAACATATTTTGCCATGCACTGCGCCTATTCATTTGGCAATTCAGTTGCAAATTTTCTCTTGAACAAATAATTCTTCCAAATTTGTTAAGAGTTTCTTGCAGAAATCGCCAAATCCCCCCCCCTCCATCATTTTTGTACGATCACCGGGTGTGACTATGGACATTAAGATTGGAAATAGAAATAATTGACAAATATTTAATTTTTCAACTTTGCAACAAGCAAAGCTCTGAACTTATGTCAGACCCTTAAAGTTTAAACTCTCACCTTTCCAATACCACATTTGACAAAAAGGGTCATTCTTTTTGCATTAGGAGTGTACTTTAAGACACTCTACTTTCCTCTCTCATTAATTTATAATTTAATTACATTCATCCTCTTAAATAGCAAATTGCACCTGATCTATGATTGTTAACATAAATAGTAATGGATAAAAATTTTACTATCAGATACAAATAAAAGTATCATAATTTTTTCAAAAAATTAACAAATGCAAAAGGAATACCACAGAACAGCATAATAATAGATGTTGTACAGGGTGGTGGCAAAGAAAACCTTTATATTTCCAAGAAATTGTATTTATGATGCAATTTACATGAAAGGATCTAGTGCACCCTCCATTATGATCTCCCCATGAACAAAAATAAATTCATCTGATTTTTCAAAATAAATATACTGCTTTTATTATTACATTTATATGTACACTAGTATCTCGTTGACCTATATTCAGCACTGTATTGATGAATGGGCCACTTATTAGGGCCAATATTCAATCATAAAGTTTACAGGGGTAGAGATGCCAAACCAGGAAGTCTTTTTGTGTCTCTCAAAATCTATTTGCATCCTACACATCCGTACATCTTATCCAAATATGTTATTAATTAATGAAACATATCAGTATAATCGTTGGATTTACAAAGTTGTATGGAATTTCATAAGTGTAAAAGTTGCTTTTGAAGCATTTTTCTATAGCCATTTTGTAAGAAAAAAATGATGAAAAAATGTATAATCTTTTAATTTGAAGTATGACCTGAATCGCTTGCAAACTTTATATTTGCACATCTGATGTGATATAGCAATTGTGTCATATTGTATTTTAGGTATTTTTGTGAAAATCAATAGAAACCAATGGTCTCCATTGGAATCTGATGATATCCACATGTTAAGTCAGTGGAGTACATCCAATGGCAAGTCAATACACCCTTGCTGAACTTAATGATCTCAACCTCAGCCCATGTGGGTCCAAACGCTTAATATTTTCCACAGTATTATGTGACATTGTATTCTTTATGTTACACCTAAAAATGATTCATTTTGTTCATGGGGAAATCATAATGGAAAGTGCACTAGACCCTTTGCTCTCAATAGTGTTTACTCCATGTAATTTCATGTAATTAGTATACTAAATAAAAGAAATCTGGAGAGAAATGAAAATGGTGGCCATTCTGAAAATAGACAAGCTTTTGAACCAGGAGTCATAGGGATGCTTTTTGTGTTGATGTTGAACAAAAATAACTTAAAACAGGAATCCTATCAACTGAGGTTTTAAAGCAAATGGTCCAAAAGTGAATTTCGCAAGACAAAAATGGTGGCAATTTTGAAAATAGGCGAGCTTTTCAACCAGGAGTCATACATAGGGGGCTTTTCTATATTGATTTTGAACAAAAATAACTCAAAAAAGAACCCTATCGACACTTCAACAGAGGTTTTAAAATGTGACACTATTGTCGACTGACCTAAACAGAAACCTTTAAGTGAATATAATTTGAGGTTAAGGCTATCACCCTGCCCTGTATCTCCTAATTTAAAAAAATATTGGTGTGTCATACAAATACCTTTTGGCCCTTCCTTCAACTCCACCTTCTTCCTCCAGTTCTGCCAATGCCTGTTTGAGGGCAAGCATCGTATGTGTTGGTGGAGTAAAACGGAACTGTCCTGTATTTTCAAGTGCAGTATACTGACCTAGCAAGTCGAGGCTCAGACTTCTGGACTGACCTTTACCAAGAAAAAGAATATAACATAAATCACTGTGCTGTGGTGTGCCCTCACCATGTTTGTAGCAAGCTTTCATTTAGAATTCATTAACTTTCAGGGGTGACTTGAAGAATTTTGACAAAAAATGTCCAATGTTCATAAAACATTTGCCAAATGTTCAAAAAGGGCAGATTAAATATTTTAGGGACATATTTGTGAGGGCCTATTAGTAAATTAACAGAAAATCATATCATCTAAAAACACACCTTTACAGAGTTTAAGTTGCTCAACTTTAGCAATAACAAATGCAAAGCCAGGAACGCCTTGCAGACATTTGTTAGCAGATGTGGCCAGGAAATCAATGTTTGACGCCTCCATGTTGATGGGGATAGCACCAAAACTACTCATGGCATCCACAATATAGAGAGCATCTGAAATAATGTAATGTTAACGTACATACATGTTGACATGCCCTTAGTCAACTTGGACCCTAGTTAACTTGTCCCCTAATTAACGCAAACCCTAGTCAACTCTGAACCTAGTCAACTCGAACCCAAGTCAGTTTGGACTTATAATTGTAAGATCAAATAATCGTTGATAATGGTGAAAACTACATGTGTCATATTTCTGAGTCAATACTAAACCCTTAATAGCCTGATTTTTCTATACAACAATTATATTATAAGTAGAGATGTCACACCGATCCGAAGTTGACCCAAATGCTGGGTCAGAAGGCTGGGGTCGGGTCACAAACAACTACTTACCAATTTCGGGTGGGGTCAGAACACTCAGGTATATCGTAAATTATCATAACATGCATTACATTCCCAGCAAATAATTCAAACTTCTCACTGGCTTATTTCTTGTATACATATTTTTTACAAATGGAAAATAATCTATGGTTCTTCCTGAACAGTTTAATGATAACTTTCTATTATTTTCCTTTCATCAAAGAATAATATGCAGTAGGCTAATGCTGTTCTCAAAAGATGTCATTTAAACATTTATGTTTTGACAAAAAGTCAAATTCATTTTTCTGTTTTCTTCTGACCTTACCCGAAATTACCCTACCACATACCAGACTCGAAAAATATCTGACCCGTGACACCTCTAAGTATTATCATGCTATGATTAATTCTAAATTCTACAAGCAAGGGTATAAATGTATTATTACAAATTAGGGGATAGTAGAAACCATTTAAGCATTTTTTACCTATTCCCATGCCTATTTTCTCTTACAAGATCTTTCAATTCCTCACTAATGTTTAATTCTATCGCAAGCATGCATAATATAAAATATCGAGTGAATCCATTGAATAGTTACTAGCACTCAGTTAAACCAGTTCAGAAAGACATTCATAAATATTTTCATATAAAACCACCCTCCCACTCTCATGAACTATGTAGAAATAATTAATAGTCACAAAATTGATCATAAATTTTGACACAAATATAATCTCTATACTGTTGAACTGCATTCTTCTCTTTTAACCTTTAGCGTGCTGCCGGCGGACTCGTCCGCCGAGACTAAAATGTCTCTCACAACTGCCGGCGGACCCGTACGCCCGATTTCAAACTTTTAAAAACTTTACTTTTTCGCGCCATTCGTATTGTCCAATTAGATTGCCCGATTTATTCAGTGCCTAACATGACTTCCTGTTGACCTAGAAATGGCGATATTTCGAAAAATAATTCTCAATTCAACAATTTAAACAGTGTTTAAGTCGTTTTTAGTGAACGAATCGTACAAAATGGTGGACAAATACGATCACAACGAAAATGTGGAGGAAATGGATTACGATTTCGAGCTCTTTAGGCTCTTGGAAGCCGATAACGGTCATCGAAAATAGAAGCTAGAATATTTTCTGAATTGAAAAATTGAACATTTGATCGCTGCAAATTCAGATTTGGATTCTGACCAGACGAAGAGGCGGAGCGGCGGATTCCGGAGGAGTATTCATGGTATATTTATGCCCAGTCGTGTTAATGTACGAAAAAATTCATGAGAACATTTTTTTCATGAGCCAGGCCACTGTGTCTTCCCTTTGTGAAAATTTTATCCAGATTCATTCAGTAGTTATTGAGATATTAATTATTTAGTCCAGGCATATCATTTTTTGCACTCTTTGAAAAATAAGCCAGTTGCGTGGGATATATTTGCTGAAATAAGGCAGCATGGTAAAGGTTAAATGAAAAATGAATGAACACATATAATGTAAATAAAAAAGAAAGTTGGCACTAAATGATCCATTACACCATGTACCTAAAGATGCCCCCAAAGGTTTCTTTGAATATAACATGGAAATAGTTACTTTTATCATTTATGAACACGTCCAAAACACCAGAACAACGGCAACGCCAAAGCGTAGCAAATCCCATCGAACAGCCATGGCTGGCATTTTTACGAACAAAGTATATAGCAAAAATGGCAGCCATTTTTCAAAATGGCCACCTTCTACCAAAAGTGTCATTAGACAGCGTGCCATGCTTATAGTATTCACATACAAAATATGAACAAAATCGCTCCCCTACTTTTCGAGTTATAGTAAAATACGTTAAAATGGCAGCCATTTTTCAAAATGGCCATTTTCTACCAAAAGTGTCATTAAACAGTGTGCCATGGTTAAAGTATTCACATACCAAATATGAACAAAATCGCTATACTACTTTTCGAGTTATAGTAATTAAAATAATTTAAAATGGCCGCCATTTTTCAAAATGGCCGCCTTGTACCAAAAGTGTCATTAGACAGTGAGCCAAGCGTATAGTATTTACATACCAAATATGAACAAAATCGCTCCACTACTTTTCGAGTTACAGCAAAAATCGTAAAATAACGAGTAAAGGCCGCCATTTTTCAAGATGACTGCCATGTGCTTCTTAAATATCTACATTTCAAGCTTTATTAATGTCCTACATAATTTTTTTTACATTTAAAACATATTGCTATTACAGTTTTACATATTGCACCTAAATTACTGTAATATCGGCACTAAAATGGTAGAACACAAAGGGCAACATATTGAAAACACAAAACCTAAGTATTCAACTCTAATACTAAAATTCTAGTTGTGACTTTCCAATATATGATATATTTATTTGGCATTTTCAAAGAATAATTCAATTGAAGCTAAAGGTATGAAGTCAAATGATTGCTTTTTAAAATTGAAAAGGTGCATGTAGGACAGTTTTTTGTCAGTTTGAAACCCATTGTTTTGCTATCAAACAAGTGGATGTATTTTTAATCTATCCATTGTAAAACATATAATTATTATGAAGTAAAATATTTTAGTTTGACTTTGGATAAGAACTATCTTACAAGCAGTGTCCCTTTAGTGGCTAAATGGATATTGATTCTGTCTTTCAGCAATTTATCATCTTTTGGGACAGGCATCAAAAATAGATTGACCCATTTGTTTCTTTTGGCGAGAATTACCTAACAAGCAGTGTCCCTTAAAACAGCTACATGGGTATTGATTGAGTCCCTCAGCATTATATCATCTTCAGGGGTAGGCAATAGAATGAAGAATCAAAAATAGATAGACCCATTAGCCTCTTTGGTTGAGAACTACATGTACCTTACAAGCAGTGTCTCTTTAAATGGGTAAATGGATATTGATTCAGTCCCTCAGCAATATATCACATTCAGGGGCAGGCATGACTAATGAATCAAAAGTATATTGACCCTTTGATTGTTTGTCAAAAATATTTAAGTGTTCATTAGGATGAGAACTATCTTACAAGCAATGTCCCTTTAAATGGCTGAATGGACAATGACTAAGTCCCTCTTCAATATATCATCTTCAGGGGCATGAATGATCGATCAAAGATAGATTGTCTATGCATAAAGCTACTAAATAGTTAAAGTATGAAAACTCAAAAACACCATTCAATATGATACAAAGTATTATCGCTCGTTAACTTTTCTTAAGACTTTAAACATGGCTGCCATGACTGAGCTAACAGGTCCAAAACCAAATCAGATGTAGAATGAAGTGAGCTGAACAAGATGTTAAAGTTTTAAAAGCAACTGTGAAGCCATTTTTCTTAAAGTTTGCAGACAAGGATTTTAGCATTTGACTTCAAAATGGCCGACAGGAAGTAGGTATAGAGTAAAAAGATGTTCATCCACATCTGTATTCACTCATAAGTTATCCCTGAAAATTTGAAGGTGATTTCAGTAGCGGTTTTGGAGAAAACTGCCGGACGTATGTACGTACGGACGGACGGACGGACGGACAGACAGACAGACGGACGGACGCGCCTAGGCCGACAATATGGCCCCACACTATGTGGTGGGGACATAAAAACAAATAGTGACTGCCTAATTTTGAGCAATAGTGTAAATGGTTTCCCCTTGGGAATATCTTCTACAGTGCATTTTAGAGGATATCACTATTTGTATAATATTCATTCATCATTTATATCAGCACGTGACTTTCAGGTCCATATATGGCAAAGAGGGTTGACATTCGTGTGGTTGATTGACATTGACCACTATGCATAAGAAATATGTGCGACGTACTTGTTTGTAAATAAACGCAAACTGTTTAAACATTTGCACAAAATGCTTCAGAACTCACTTTACACTCTTACACAGATACCGTATTATCGCCTATTGGCGCACAGTGCGCTTGTGAAATTGAGGTGAAATACCATGGAATTGGAGAGAAATCAATCCAATAAAGTCCCAATAAGCGCACATATAAGTTATCATTTTGATTAGGCGATAATATGTGAAAATCAGAATTCGAAGCCTGGTTTGAAATAAATATTATCTTACTTACTGTTATTTCACGCCAAATCATGTCTTGTGTCGTTTATTTACCATAATATTACGTTTCTAAAGGACCAACTATTGGTAAAATAAAGAAATATTGCGATATTTATCAGGTAGAAATTTTGACTTTTATTTGATCGTCATAATAACTACAGCGCATCAAAGTTTGCGCAGACCGGAAGTTGGATTTTCCTACCCGGAAATGAAATTTGGTGAGTTAAAAATCGTTATTCTGTAAGTTTTCCTGCTCTTTTGCTCTGATCACAAATGTTTGTCATGTTTCCAAAGTCGCATGTGCGCTTATAGGAGAGTGTGCGCCAATCATTCCTCCAAATTAGAATCGATCAGTCAAGTGGTTTGCCAGGAAACATGTAGACAAGACTTTATAAAGAAGATTTTAGGACAGAAAATCCAAAATGGCCAACTTAAAGTTTACCCAGGATGCAGAAAAACTAATCAGTTCTAAAATTTTCAGACTAAGAATCATCCCTGAAAAATTTGAAATTGATCCCTCAAACAGTTAACCTGAAAACGCATAGACATAGACTTGACAGATAAGATTTTAGGACGGAAAATCCAAATTGGCTCCCTTAACATTTACCTATAATGCCGAAAAACTAATCAGTTCAAGATTTTCATACTAAGAACCAGCCCTGAAAATTTGAAATTAATTTTTTTTGTGAAATTTTTTTTTCTCCAAAAATTGCCGTGCTTTCTAGAAGGTTTGAGAAGTTCTAGACCGTGTTCAGACGAAATGTTGAGATGAAGTGATACTAGAGGTATATCTGCATGGTATGGTCAATGTTTCTACGAAAATGAAAGAACCATATTCTGTCAAAACGTCGAAATAAATAGGTACTTACAAATCTCCAGCCGAAAATACTTGTATAACGTTGTAAACATCCGGTGCTACAACGTATAAGAGAATGGGGTGTGTTTGAACCAACCAAATGTTTATGGCAGTATGTACTTAAGCTTGTTTCACCAAAACGGTTTCCCATATTCTTTGGATAAAATGGTTCTGCATCTTAGGATGTTCACCAGGTCCGTAAACCAGGGGGGCTCAAACCCCCCTGGCCAAAATATCTTTCAAAATAATGCAGTTTTTCACCATTCTGAGCCCTTTTTAAGTGATTTTGGCCATTTTTGGACCAAAATTGTCACAAGTGAACCCCCTGGAATTTTTCAAAAAGTGAACTCCCCTTGGCAAATCCTGGCTACAGGCCTGTCACATATACATTATCCTGATTTTGTCATTTGTAACACTGCAAATATTTTATTTATGAGTATAGATTGAAATTGCATTGTTGCCATTTAAATGCATGCATTTTAATATTATATACGTTTGGTTGATGAGCTATGGCTTCTAGATATGTTGGGCCAAAAACCTTGTGTGAAACCTCTCTAATATGAAGAATCTTATCTTATCTTATAGCTAAGCTTACTTGGTTGGTATTCTTTAGTAATGCGTCCTATGTCTTGAATAGGGTTAACAACTCCACTGCTAGTTTCACAATGGACTATAGACACATTACTAAAATTATCGCTTTGTAACAGTTCCTCCACTCGAGTCGAACTAACTTGTTCATTTTCAGGAAACAGTTCTATATGGTGGTCAATGTTAAGTGCACGACAAATGGCTGCCATGCGCTTGCCATATGCCCCATTAGCAAGAATAAGAACCTAGGTTAGTAAAATGTTAGTTTAATGAAATATGCAAGAAATTAAAAAAATGTTAAACACAAAAACAAGTTGTTTAGAATGAATAAATCCCAAATACCCTGAATTTTCTCAATTTTTGAGTTGGTCATGAACATATTAATGGCCTTTGACCCTGAGATTATAAGCCATGAAAGATTGATTTAGGACCGGGTTAAGGGATTAATACATTTTAAACTGTGGATTATAAGAGATGGACATTTAACTAACAATTCAAAGATTAGACGAGATCAATAACATAGGTGATAACACAATTTACACTGGTGAAGCAAAATATAGATTAGTGATTAGCTCTTTTATTAACCATTGGTTCAATATTTACATGTAATGGTCATCAAGCAGAAATCAAAATCCTTTCATAAGGAGACATGCTTTTGCCTACAAAAAGTTTTATAGAGACAGTTATGAAGATACCTTCGCATTGGTCCTCGGCACAGTAGTCTGGAAGATTGATTCTACAGCAAATGTGCCACTGCCTTGAATTGGTATACAAGTATAGGCGTCTTCATTAGAACCTGTTGAATAAATTTATAAGTTTATTTATTCTATGTAAGCTGAATTTCTGTAGTAAACATATTGAAAGAACTAGAAGATTGCAACTTCATTGAGTAGCAAATCCCAACGTACAAAATTTAATATTCACAATACTAGAAAAACAGAAACTCCACAGAGTAGCAAATCCCACCGAACAAAACATGTTTTGATAAATAGCAACCACATAAAATTGAGCCAAATCCCATCCACTGGTATTTGAATTATCAAAGATTATGTTTTTATATGTCCCAAGGCATCAGAATATACAATTTAATCCAAATTCGTCAACTGGTACTTGAGTTATCAAGATTTACATGTTCAATGAAAAATGGCAGAGATTTTGATAAATAGCAGCCACCTTGAAAATATATTCTCAACCAGAGCTCCTTTATCTCTAGGCATCAGTATATTAAATTTGAAGTTAAATCCGTCCAATGGTATTTGAGTTATCAAAGATTACCTTTTTTTTATGAAAAATGGCAGCCATTTTGAAATTCAGCTGATGCCTTTGAAATTTCTTCTGAAGCAGATCTCCTTTTTCCCTAAACATCAGCATATAAAATTGGAACCAAATCCATCCTTTGGTATTTGAGTTATCAATGATAATGTTTTTTTACGAAAAATGGCGGGGATTTTGAAATTCAGTGGCCATCTTGAAAATGTCTTCTTGAGCAGAACTTCTTTGTCTCTAGGCATCAGCATATAGAATTTGAACCAAATCAATCAACTGGTATTTGAGTTATCAAAGGTTACATTCTTTGATGAATAATGGTGGCCATTTTGAAATTTAGCTGCCATCTTAAAAATCCCTTCTTGAGCAGAGCTCCTATGTCCCTAGGCATCAGCATATAAATTTTGAACCAAATCCATTCAATGGTATTTGAGTTATCAAGGATCACGTTTTTTTTACGAAAAATGGCTGCCATTTTGAAATATGGTAGCCATCTTGAAAATGTCTTCCTGAGCAAAGCTCCTTTGTACCCAGGCAACAGCATATAAAATTTGAACCAAATCCATCCACTAGTATTTGAGTTATCAAACATTATATTTTTTCCAAAAATGGCCGCCATTTTGAATTTAAAAGCCATATTGAAAATTCCTTCTAAAGCGGAGGTCCTACACCCATAAGGCATAAGCCTATACAATTTGAATGAAATCTGTCAAACGGTATTTGAGTTATTGCCCGGACACACGAACAGACAGACAGATGAACAGATGAATGGACGACAAAGGAACAGCTTTTCTATATCCCCCTCGAACTTCGTTCGGTGGGATAATAATCTAGTCTACCCTTATTTGTAGACAATAAAAGATTCCACCAGTTTAGAATTTGGGTGGGCATTTTGGATTTCAAAGGCACAAATCATAAAGACAATGCAATATTTGTGATCTTATGTATGATAATATAACTAAACATTGAATGACAGATCTCTAAATTATAGTGAATTCTCACTCTAGGCAGCCATTTTGAATTTTCCGAGGTACATATCGGAAAAACAATACTGTAATTGTAATCTACTCGAAATTTTTTTGATTAAATGATATTATAAACTATATCTTCAAAGTATGGCCATATTATAGCCACACTTTGAAGAGATCACAAAGAACAGGTCCATTTAACAGACTATTGGTCAACTTAGACTTTTTCCAAAAAACTCATTCTTCCATTTACTTTCAAAACCGATTGCAAGTTGTAGATAAACCTTTTTTCTTGAGGTGTGCAATTTCAAAAAGTGGCATTAGTTTTCAGTTTCTTTGAAAAATTGGCAGTAAGAACCCCTATCACAAGGCTGTCTGAATATGGGTACACACTATGTTTACCATCAAAATAATATCAAAACTTATCATTACATAGGATTTATTATATGGAACATATGGCATACAAGCATTCGGAGTCCGACATTAAAAAAAATCTAGCTATGTATGAAGTTTACCAATGCAAATCTGGAAAACATTGTCATTTTTGTTCACTTTGTTATCAAGTTTTAGTATGGTGCTCATTTCCTTTCGTTGAAAATTTAACCATCAGCCCATTCTCCCACAAAAAAGATATTGAAACTGTATAATGCAGAGACTGTAAAGTAGCTTCTCTGCAAATATCATTGTTGTGGGAGTGTGGGCTCAATACTAAAACTTAACTTTTGTGATGAAAATAAGGCTGACTGGTTTGTTTTCAATATGGCTGCTAACCTGGGCATACATGTACACTTCATAACTGCATGTACAGATTAGGCCATTCAAAAGTAGTTATATGTTGGCATTCTGATGAAGGGCCTTATATTAAAAACTACAAAACATTTATTTATTTAAAGGGTTTTAAATAGTATTTAATAGTGAAAATGCAACAACACTTAGTGGAAAAGCAAGTAACACCTCTTGATTCAGATGACCTTGTGAATGAAGACAATACTAAAGCTTATATACATGTAGTTTTTAATCAATCTTGGAACTCAATGCCAATGGGCATCTACATATGGAATTGCCCATGTCATGGGCATTTAAAATAATAACCACATCCCAATTCTTAAAACATGCTTCTATTAGGATACTGTTAAGAGTCTCAAAAGGCAACAAGAACATTCATTTTTGAAACAGGAAAATTTAGTCCCCCCAAAAATGCCCATAAGAGGATTTATTCTCAAGATTTTCATGTAATTGCTCGTGAGAATTTATTAAAAATATTTTTATTTCCATTCACATGTCTTATTATCAGTCAAAATCAAAATTAAGCCAATTGCTTTCATTTCTTGTATTAGAAAACTGCAACATTTTGACAAAAATAGCATCTTTCAAAGTTGACCTTTAAACCACCCTAATGTCAAGGTCAAATGTCTAAATTCTCAGAAATCACATTTTAAGTAATAGGTCATACTTCCTCTTCAATTCCATGTCAATATATACTTGTTTTGTAGGGGGGCTAAAAGAGGGGTTTACCGCCACCTGTCCTTTATTGCAGAATCCCATATTAGGTGGCCATATGGAATTTTCCAAAGCCTGAATCAGAAAAACAATAAAATTATTAGCATCTAAGCTAAATTCCCTTTCGTTTGATTATAAAGCTATACTTCAGAAAGATTGAAAAATTAATGAAAATATGTTTTTCTGACACCCTGTACCCAGCCCCTGAGGGTATTGACAAAACATGGAATTATGTCAAATAGATTATATATTATGGATAAGCTATCAAAATTTCAAATATAGTTTATATTCACTAATTTGGTAAGAAATCATAACTAAATATGAAGATTATTGGTCTACTAGTACTTGAGATTCGGACATCTTGTAACCAGAACAACGGCAACACCAAAGCATAGCGAATCCCATCGAACAGAAATGGCTGGCATTTTTACAAATGAATAGCAAATATCATAAAACAACACGCCAGAAAGGCCACCATTTTCAAAATGGTTGCTCAATAGCCAAGTTGTCATCAGAAGAAATAATATGCTTTTAAGTAGCCACCTCTAAAATTTTTGAAAAATCACACACGTACTTCAAGGAGGATTGGCTCCCAGAGTGCAACATCGATATTCTGTCCCATATATGGGCATGTCGTGCTACAAAATTTGAATTCCAACGACCGCCATTTTGTTCACTTCAGAATTTGAATTGTGAATTTTGGTCTTATTTCCTAACGAAAAATTCCAAAACTCACAAGAAATGATCGAGATATTGGTTAGAATATTTTGAACAGTTTATTTTGAATTTATAATCGGTTATAATTTCAGAAAATAACGACATTTCGGCGTTTTCATTGTTGGAAAATATCGACTTCGATTCTGGGAGCCAATCCTCCTTGCACGTACTTGTAAAATAACACACATAAAAATGGTGGCCATTTTTCAAAATGGCCGACTACTCCCCAAAGTTTTATTAGACAATGTGCCATGCTTAAAGTATTCACATATCAAATATGAACAAAATCACTCCACTACTTTTCATGTTATAATAAAATACGTTAAAATGGCGGCCATTTTTCAATTTTTTTTTCAAAATGGCCGCCTTCTACCAAAAGTGAAAAGTGTCATAGGACAGTGTGCCATGCTTATAGTATTCACATACCAAATATGAACAAAATCGCTCCACTACTTTTCGAGTTATAGTAAAATATGTTAAAATTAGGGGTGGGACGGATAACCGAAATACCGAAAAACCGCGGTTCATAGCCTTCGGATCGGTTTTCGGATCACGGCCCTACTTTCGGATCAGCTTTTCGGATCGTTTTCGGATTAATATTTCATTGGTCAAGTATCAATAAAACAGTTAAAAACACTGTTTTACAGCAACATTTTTGATATTCCTAGTCCCTACCTTGTCTGTCTTGTCTGTTGCTAGCTCACTCGTTTACTAGATTCGTTTCGTATCCGCGTATTCGTATCCCTCGGTTATCAATCATGTGGTCCCTGGTACTATATTCTTTAGTCGTGTATTCTAAATAATATGTATTGTTCATGAAATACTATAACATAAAATTCCATCTATAAAATATTGTTATAACATGGCATAATTGATACAAAGATTTGCGCAAATTTATATTTGCGCAGGTTTGATATAGGGTATTATTTTGTGCGCACCCACAATATATTCGAATATGGCGTCTGGATCTCAAATTCCCGTTTTCCCAAAAGAAATGAAGATTATAAATTAGTTATTTTATTGGTTGTATTAAAAGAAAGTGACAGTCAGCAGTGAAGTCAGAGACAAAGCAGCTAATCATGTCAATCAATACAAATCCTTAAAATGAATGAACCGAACCGAAAAAACCGAACCGACGGCTGATGATCCGAAAAAACCGAACCGAAACGAACCGTCCCATCCCTAGTTAAAATGGTGGCCATTTTTTTTCAAAATGGCCGCCTTCTACCAAAAGTGTCATAGGACAGTGTGCCATGCTTATAGTATTCACATACCAAATATGAACAAAATCGCTCCACTACTTTTCGAGTTATAGTAAAATACGTTAAAATGGCGGCCATTTTTC